TGAGTGTGTGTGCGGGAGCGGGGAGCGGGTGATGTCCGTGCGTGGCGGGCCGCGCAGTCTCGGTGTGTGCGTTCCCGCGTGTGGCGGGGGGGGGTCCATGGGCACGTGTAGGGTCGGAACTTTCTGTGTTTGTGTCCCAAGTTCGCGACGGCTCTCCAGCATGAGACTGTGTGTGGACAGGAAGCGGGGCCTGTGTGTGTGCACTCCTGGCCGTAGGTAGAGTGGGGTGGGCGGGGGCAGGTCACCTGAGTCAGCTGGGCCCCTGCACTGAGACTTTGAAAGAAAGGAACCTAGAAGCCATTAGCAGGCCCTTGGGCTGCCCCTGTGTCATGCCCCCGTCTCTCAGGGACCCCCTCCTCCCAGGGCTATTGGCTGTCGGGGCCTGGAGACCTGGGTGGAGGTAGTCAGAATGGTGGTTGTGCATCTTGGGGTCACCATCCTTCTTGACCTCAAGTGCCCACCTCACAGGGGTGTAGAGGCGTGGGGGGGGGGTGTCCTAGCCTCAGGCAGAGATTTGGTAAATGGGAAGGGAGATGGGTAGACAGACTGGGGCCAGAGCCTTCCCTGGCTGGTCAAGTAGTTGCATAACCTTCACCAGGCCCAGCCTCCCTGCAGTTAGAGGGACACACACCTTTGGGGTGGGGAGCAGTTGGGGCTCACGCATGTCACGCTGCTGGTGCAGGGTAGGTGCTCTTTGAGCTGTAGGGAGTGTGTCCGACGCACCTGCCCTCTCTGGACACCCGGCCTCCGAGGCTGGGTGGGCTGCCTTCTCTGTGCGGGGCCTGGTGAGCCATCAGGTGAAGAGAGGAGCCTGGGTTGAGCGCTGAGTTTCTGGTCAGCGGACTCAGAGAGGCAGAGCAGGGAGCGGGGCTGGGCTCTGTTGTGTGACCTTGGGCAAGTCTTGGCTTCTCTGGCCTCACCTTCCCAGTCTGCAGAGTCCACCTTAGCTGACCCCTGGGAGACCCCGGTCCTGTCCCCTCAGATGGTGCCCCCTCGCTGGCGGAGTCTGGCTTGGTGCCCCTTTGCCATTCTCCTCTGGGTTCTGGGCAGGAGGCAAGCGTTGTTTGTTGTCCCAACAGCTGCCGAGCCCCTAGGCCCCCAGCTGGGCAGGAGGGTGGAGCCCTCTCCAGCCCTCCCAACCCCAAGGTGCCCTCAGAGGTGGGTCAGGGGGGAATCTACCCACTCTCTCTGCAGGGGGACCTGGAGGGGTTGGGGGAGATAAAGCCTGGGGGTACCGCTGAACTCTGGGAGCTGGAGGACTTCCTCTGGCTCTGCTTTGGGGCCAGGGTGTGTGTATGTTGGGGTGCGGGGGGGGAGTAGGAGAGAAAGCTCCTGTGGACCGCCTGCTCCCACATTCCCTGGCTTTTGTCCCCTGGTGGCTGTGAGTGGGCTCCAGGTCCAGGGTCAGGGCAGGCAGGGGGAAGTGTGTGTGGAGGGCTCTTCCTAAGCCCCCACATGTGTAGTCCCGTCTGGAAGCACTGGAAGCTGGCCTCAGCCACACCCCACATCTTTGCTCTGACCCCAGATGCTGTGGTCACTGTCCCTCTTCACCTGCTCCAGGACCTCCCATGCTGACCCCACCCCCTGCTACCCCATAGCCTGGCCTCGGGCCCCTGCTCCCTATCCCCGTGTCCCCAGTCCTGCCTCTTTCCTTACTCCTTTACCCCACACCGTCCCATGGCCCTCATCTGACATTGGTGCTCCTGTAGCCTGTGGGGACAGTGACATTGCACCGAGCACCTCCTCTGGCCTCCTCTGGGTGGGGGGTGAGTGGGGTTGGCCTGACATGCTGGGCAAGTCTGGGTAAGAAGGGGCTGTCCCCTCACCTGCTGTCCCTCTTGCTGTGTTTCAGGGTGGACAAGTCCTTCACCCCTCGCCGGAGTGTGTGGTAAGTACTGGGGCGCACCTGCTGGGCTGGGCAGTCTGGAACCATTCATTACCACCCCCTCTAATGCCAGACCAGACCCCACAACCTCCGGGCACTCTGCACGCTCAGCAATCCGCTACCCTCTCTGCAGCTCGGTGCTCTCATCTGTGCAGTGGAGATAAAAATGCCTGTGTAACAGTGGAAGTTGTAAAAACCAAACCAAACGGCCCGGCATACTGTAGGCCCTCGCTGAAAGGGTGTCCTTGCTTTCTCTTCTCCATTTCTTCCCACCTCGTGGCGGCTCCCAGCTGGGGGTGCCCCTAGCCTCTTTGCTGACCCCCAAGCCCTCTAGTTCCACTTCATGCACAGCCTTCAGAACCCTCTCCTCCAGCCCGTGTCCTAAGCGTCAGCTGCCCTCTCTGTGGAGGAGGAGGGCGGGAGGCGGTTGTGCCTGCAGCTTCCCCAACATAGAGAGCAGTGGGTGGAGGTGCAGCCTCACCTCGGGGTTCACAGCACCCCCGGCGCTGCCCGGCTTCCCTGGCACCAGCACCACATGGGCCCAGCTGGCTGCGCCTGCTGCCACCTCAGCTCCAGCAGGAGAGCCCCCAAGGGCTCTGGCTCCTGCTTCCTGCCCCTGCTGAGGGCTTCCCAGGGTCCCCAGGCCCTGCAGTGCCCCCAGCTGCTGGGCGACTCCTATCTGGCACTATTGCCCCCAGGAAGCCCTCTCTGGGGTGGGAGGCACATGGGGTGCCCAGGCTGAGCTCCAGGGTCTGCCCTTTTCTTTTCCTTTGATGCGCTCTGTGTAACCTGGGGCCAGTTACTCTCCCTCTCTGGGCTCAGATCCTGCTGCTGCGCCCAGTCACTTTGAGCTTCTACTCGGTGCAAGACTGTGTGCTAAGCCCAGAGCAGAGGTAGGGTGGAGGTGGGGAAGATGCCGTCTTTCCTTCAAGGAGCTCAGTAACAGTGTCCCCACAGCGGCCATTTGTCAAGCGCCTGCTGTGACCGGGTACTGCCAGGTGCGTGAACTACATCACCTCAAAATCTTTCCCACATCCCTGAGTTAGGGCTATCATCTCTAATTACAGATGAAAACCGTGAGGCACTGAGTGGGGAATTGACTTCCCCAAGTTCACACAGCTCGTCAGTGGCAGAGCTGGGGTTTAAATCTCGATCTTCTAGACTCGGCAGAGCCCAGGGTCTCACCCGCTCTGTCCCAGGGCCTCCAGGCCACAGGGCGGGTCTGAGTGAAGGACGCACTTGGGGAAGACTTGGAGATGGAGGGTGGACCCAGAAAGTCCACTCCAGGGAGCCCTGAATGAAGAGTCAGAGATAAGGGCCCAGAACTGATAGTAACTATGAAGTTGGGCAAGTCCCTTTTCCTCTCTGGGCCTCAGTTGACACCTATAATGTAAGATTCTGAGATTACCAGGATTTGCCCATGGCCCACAACACCTTGCCCACAGCCTACTTGCTGGAGTTGCTGTCCAAGGTGCTAACACCTAGATCCCCCCGCCCCCCCTTTCTGGAAGCCAATTACTTAGCCCCCACCCTGTGCCTGGCATATAATTAGTATAAAACGGGGGTCATCTTGACTATTAATTGTGATTCCTGGCATTCAAGGCCTGTCCCCACCTCCTTTTCCAGCCTGGGACTCACTTCTCCCTTCCCTGCATTTCTGATCCGGGGGACTATGGCCCCTACGAGCACATTCTCCCCTCCCCTTGCTATGCCCTCCCTTTCCATTGTTACAAGCCTTCGCCTCCACCCACCGTTGTTACGGTTTGTTGAGTGTTTTCTTTCCTGATCCCTGCACCCCATCTTTCTCTCCTTAGAACACCTCCCCTCCTGCTTATCATGCCTGAAGAGCACACAGTAGGCTCTTTCCTGGGGTGGTGGGACAGCATGGCTTTCAGAGTCTGACAGACGTAGATTTGAAGCTGCCTCTGCCACACACTGGTGATGTGATCTTGGGCAGTTCGTTCCGCTCTCTGAGCGACTTGATGCTCAGTACGTATTTGTTGAATTGGGTCTGTCAGGGGGCTGACCTCAGCTGAGTTGAATGTGTCTCTATTACACTGCAGTGCAGGGCAGGCTCTAAGGTCCTCGAAAGCAGAAGTTACTTTTTTAAAAAAATATATTTTTATTCATTTCAGAGAGGAAGGGAGAGGGAGAGAGAGATAGAAATATCAATGATGATAGAGAATCATTGATTGGTTGTCCCCTAATGGGGATCAAGGCCCGCAACCAGGCATGTGCCCTGGATCGGAATGGAACCTGGGACCCTTCAGTCCACAGGCCGACGCTCTATCCACTGAGCCAAACCGGCCAGGGCAGCAGAAGTTACTTTTGACTTAGGCCCCCTTTCCAGCTCTACTTCCATAAAAGTTGGGCTGTACTCTTCTGATCTTTCTATCCTCCACATGGTCTTGCACAGCTATCCAAACCCAGTAAATGCTTAATGAATGTTTGTGGAATTGAGTTGAATGTGTCCAGAGAGTGGAACAGGTAAAACTTTGTCAAGTAAGCTGGAAGGGCTTCCTGGAGGAGGTGTAGTTTTCCCAGCTCCTTTAAAAAAGGGATTAAGAGATTGGGGCTTGCATCAGGGGAGCAGTGGGGGCTGGTAGAGGCCAGATGTGATCTGACTGGATTCCCCCACCCCCTGCACCTCAGCAGCAGGTTATTTGCAGTCAAGGAGCTTAGGACAAGCGTGCAGATGTCAGAGGGATGAGGCATGAGGCCCAGTGTGAGGATTAGGAGCCAATGGGACAGTGGGTGACTCTGGTTGTGCAGCTGTAATGGGGGCTGGACATGTTTTTTCTTTTTTATTGAATTTATTGTGGTGACATTGAGTAATGAGGGGGCTGGACATGGAAGGTGGATTCGAATGGTGGGGAGAGGAAGGAGTGATCCTAGGGTGGGGGAATGGCTGGGTGCAGTCGTTCAGGGAAGGGGGTTCTGGAAATACCCTGGGAAGAGAAGAATCAACTTTGACCATAAAGCTGGGAGCCTCGGAGGAGGAGGCGGGACCCAGCAAGGATTAAGTGCCAACAGTGTGCCGGGCGTTTTACTACGGTCGGTCGTCTCATTAAGTCGTGATGACAGTCCTGCAAGTTGGCTTAGTGTCCCCATTTTAGAGGCCAAAAACCAAAGCTGAGGATGGCGAAGGCTCTGGCCCAAAGTCACAGAGCTGGTGAGGGCTGGACGTGAATCCAGATTTTTCTCTTGCCAAGGAAGGGACCTGGCCAGAGATGAGGAAGCCACAGACATGAGGGAATTCCTGGTTCAGGGGTAAGGAGAGGGAGATGGCCCGCAGTACCTCCAGAACAGTAGTCACTGCCCAGCCCCAGGTGCCCCACGGGGAGGGCCCATCTGGTCACTGAGATATCCCTACTTGACAGTGATGGTACCACTTGCTCCCATATATGAAGCATTTCCTGGGTCCCAGGCTCTGGGCTGAGCACTTCATCTGAAGTATTTTATTCCATCTTTAAACAGCTTCTTCCCCATCTACCTTCCCCATTTTATAGATGAGGAAACAGGCTCAGAGAAGGGACCTGTCTGGCGCAGAGATGCACAGTCTAAGAGGCAGGGTGGTCAGCCCGAGGCCATACCTTTAACCCTTGCTCTCCTGGACGCCGCCTGTGATGAGTGCGGGGCTTGGGTGGGCAGCTCCTGTCCTCAGGTGGCTTCTCCCTGTAACGACTGAGCCGGAGGCCCTGGAGGTCTGTGTGCCTCTGCAGGAAGCACGAGGCTGGCCTCATTAGTGGCTCTGAAATGCCAGGCAGGCACAGCCCGCTGGGCCTCCTCATCTATTATGCATCTGGTAGGCAGGCCCCTGGCGGGTAGCTGGCAGAGCACAGGATGAGGGAGCCAGCAGCTGCTTCCTGAGCCCACACCTGCCACCATACCTCTGGGCAGGCATCCCCCAAGGCAAATGCCAAGGCATCTGCTTGGTCCAGCTGGGGGCAGGGGGTCCCCTTGGGGACAGAGGCATGGATGCTGGTCCCTACCTCATTAGCCTGCCTGTTCCAGTGGCCATTTCTAAGAAAGTCTGGGACCTTGATTGAGCTGGGGGTCATTTGGGATTAGGGTGGGAAGAGGTGGGCTAAAATAGACTCTTAAGTGCATAGCTTCCTATCTGTACCGCACCTCAGAGTGATAGAGTCACAGTCATTAATACATCATTCATTCATTCAGCCACAAGCAATTACTGAGCACCTGCTGTATACCACCCTGCACATTCAGTGGAAAACGAGGCAGGCCCAGCCCCCATCTCCGGAGAGCTTGGTTTGGCCAGTGCTTCACATCTTTGGGCCTCAATTTCCTCATCTACAAAATGGGGAGTAAAGAACATGGCCTGTAAATGGGCAAGAACACAAACTGTGTGGTTGTGCTGAATTGTGAAGCAAGGGTACACGCTAAGGAGAGCTGACCCTCACCTAGAGCCTCCTGGGTGCTGGGCTGTGTCCCAGAGCACTGGCCTGTACTGATGGATTTAACCCTCACCGCCGCCTCCTGAGGCAGGTGCTGTTATTCTCCCTGGTTGAGAGCTGAGGAAACTGAGGCGTAGAGGGGTTACATAGCCTGTGTAAGGTCTCTTGGCAAGACTGAGATTTGAATCGAAGCAATTGGCTCCCATGTGCACATTACCCTAGGCTACAGGGATGGAGGATGACGGAGGAAGTCACAGAAGGCCTTTTTGAGGAGGTAGCATTTGAACCCAAACCTGAAGGATGGGAGGCGTTGGCTGTGGGAAGAGTTAGCAGGAGCAAGGGGGCCGTCCTGGCAGAGCGGGGACAGTAGGTGCATTGGCCCTGAGGCAGGAACAAGCTTTGTTTGTTCTGGGAGCAGGGAGGAGGCCAGTGTGGCTGGAGGGATGAGGGAGAGTGAGGGCAGGGGCTGGTTTGGAGAGAGCGGAGGGGCCAGATTGATCAGGGTCTTGCAGGCAGTATAGGAGTTTGGATATAATGTCAGTGACTGACACGCAGAACCACTGAATCTTAGACTTCTGGCTTTGTAAA